GCCCCATTTTCAATACCCTCCGAGGAAAAGCTGCGTCTGATGCAACATCGAAAGAACCGGCCTGTAGTCAGAAACATCCGTAATGCTGCGCTGCGACGATGGGAGGAACTGGTTTGATAGCATGACAGCAGCGCAGGCTGGACTTTGAGCCCGGGCGAGCATGTCGGAGGCGGTCGGGTTGGCCTCAGGAGAATTTTCCCCATGTTTGGTCTTTCAGAGACCCGGAAGGAGAGGGAGGGGGGGCATGGCTAGCCAGAGGGAAATTGGAGCTGGGTTGGCCCGTCTCGCTGCGACTCTGGCCCACAGATCAGAGTCCTCCCTGACCTTGCTCTCGCGATCTCGTTGAGGAGCATGGGTTTGGGTGTTCAAGGCACATGGATGAAACCCTGCGGCCAATGCGCATCGCGTCTGATTATTGACGTTGTGTTACTCACCTTACAACATCATCTCGCAGTCGATACTCCTTCTTGCAGCCTCCACCCATACCTCCCAGATACAAGCTACAAGCCCCCCCGTCCCCAACATGTGCGAGTGGCCCGCCCGAGGACCCGCCCGCCCTTTGTGTGTGTGCACCGCCTCACCCTGCTGCTTTTTTTGGAACTGAACCGAACGTCAGATGCACCGCCATACCTATGTACCGTGTGCCGAGCCTGCGTCTGTTTTGGCCCAGTTTAATAGGAAAAATATGCAGAATTGGGCGGATGAGACAAGGAAACCCAGTAATGATGGGCGCGTCGACGTCTTGTCTGATGGGGCACCCATTGACTGCAGGCGACAATCAACCAGTCAACTACCCAACCGCACTCGTCATATTTCGCAGTTCTCCGTCTCTCAAGGCCCTGGAAAGACCTGCAGGTTCCTCTCGCGGTCGACCGGCCGGCCAGGCAGACCCGATGGGACCCCTCGATTCCCATATTGGGCCTCAGAGTTTGAACCAGAGACACAAATGGCGATGGGGCGGACAGAAGGGGAAAAAGTACGTAGCTGGTTGACTGATGGATCTTTCCGTCTGTCTTACACAACGGGGGGAGCGATTGAATCACCCTCTTGCCGGAAGTTAGGTGCCACGAAATGGCTAGAGCTCTCGTATGGGCGGATGCCCTCTCCGTATGGCGGAAGCTTATTTGCTGCGTGACCTGTCGGAAGCTGCCGCACCGCCGTGGGGAAAGGAATGTTGCTCGCCCACCCATCCTTGGCCGTAGGTATTCTGATAGTCTGTTTGAGGTCTAGTACCGTCCTCGTGAGAAAGACGAGGGTTGTCTCATCTCCTAGGTCAACTCCCGGGACCAGGCTTCCTTCCGAGATGTTTTACTGGAGTGGAAAGTCTAGACTTTGAACTGATAAGACAGGCATTCCGGGAGGGGTGGGAGGCCCGAGCAGGATGTCATTCACCGATTGCATTCGACAATCGCCAAGTGACGAATTGATGGATTTAGGCTTTCTCAACGCTATTTGTCCGCTGGGGGACCCAGCACCCACGTTGTGATTGAGCAGGGTCCAGAACAGCCTCGGCTGGGAGGGGGATGGTATCGTCACGCCAAGGCTGGCATTCTGGATCTCGTGCAAATTCCCACTTGCCAGAATGCCTCGTTTGCGGAGCAGGTCCATTGTGAAACGTCAGTCACTGGTCGCCGGGACCCATTTAGGCTCTGTGCGAAGGCATTAAACGGCAGATGTCAAAAAGTTAGCAGTAAGCTAAAACGGCTGTGGAAAAATCGAACGGTATAGTGGGATTCCGCTCCATTCTTTGACGCATTTCGAAGGAAGAACCCGCTCACTGGACAGGACTCAAGGCACAGCCTGTAGGTCTGATTCGCCCTGCTGGTATGTAGGTAGCGCATCTCATATTACTACGCCAGAAGATGAGTAATTTGGCACCATGAGATGATAGCGGGAGTGCTACTGGGTTTGCACGGTAGGGTGTGAATGCGAGCCGTCATATTGGCCAGACAGCGAGCAGCAATCCCGCCAGGCTGGTTAGGAGGGGGGCTGGGGGTTCGGGGGGTTCGAGATATGCCGGCTGGTGCATGAAAACAGATAGATGAGCTATTCACGGCAGGAGAAAAAAACCGACGACGCTAAAAAGCAAATACAGAATACAGCGGGCAGACGAGGTTTGTGATAGGCAGGCGCGGGCTAGGGCCAGACGCCCGGGACCGAGGGGGATGCACAGTGCACATCGTCATCTAAAGTCCAGGTAGAGCAAAGCCAGACAAAACGAGACATGGTGCATGGCCCAGGAGGGAAGGGAGGGGCGGCCAAACAGAGTGGCCGTGCTGGGGTGTCGGCTCGGAAAGGCCAGAGACGAGGGACACGAATTCCCAGAACCGGCAAGAGCCGCCAGGGCCGGGTGTCGCCTGATGCGAGTGCAAGGTCGGGCTGGTATGGGAGGGGACGGGATGGCAGGTATGGCGCATCAGAGCGGTATGTTCCCAGACACAGTGGCTCCAGGGAGCAGCGGCCAGGCTGTGCAGCGAGGTGTAGGGCCCTAATTCAACGCGCCAGAACCATCGGCCGCTGCGGTCCCGCGCCCTGATTGGCCCTGCCGAGTCTCTGGGGACGCTGCACGCTGAGGTAAAAATATCCACGGGTGGCCTCGGTCAAGTGACGATGGGCGAATCAAGCGCCACAGGAGCCATCCAAGTGCCCACACTGGCTCTCAGAGGCATGCGGTTTTGCTGCTTCTGTCGTCGTGCTGCAGCCGGCCCGTCAGCAAGGAGACGGCAGACGCACATCCACCTCACACATTCGCGCGTGCATGCGTCCCATCCCATCCCCCCCCATCCGACCTGCAGCCATGTAGGCTGTGTGATGAGGCTTTGACTCGGCTTGCATGCAATAGACGCTCCAAATTTGGATCGCAAATAGTCCGCAACTGGCTCGACTATCGCGGAGAAGCCATATTGTGACTATCCATCTACAAACTCAATTGTTTCCCCTCCCCGAATCAGACTCAATGTTGCATCCAAATCACCAGTGGCTGACCTGGGCAACCCTCTTCCGTAAATAGATAGCAGGAAGAGGCCGGGATCATCGCCAGCTCACACACACCTCTTCGGCAACCGCCATCTCCCCTACACACATAGAGGCAAGAGGAATAATAGAGAAAGCGATAGTCTTGAATTGGCCATGCCGTAGCGGACCAGACATGTCTTTGACTCCTCTTTGTCTTAGACTTGCATTTCGCTGCACAGAGTCATCACCCCGATGAGGTTCTGGCCCTCTTGGCCAGTAGGATTGGTGTGTGGAGAAATAAGGAACAGTCTCATCAGGGGATTCGGGTCGATCCATCTGCCCATCTACAAGCTTTGACCTGTTTTACCTGTCTATCATGAGCCCTTTTCCGCGCTCGTTAACCAGCGCGGCAAGAGGCCGCGACGTGGAGAGCCTCTGTTTGAGAATGTCCTGAATCGTACTGCTCGTCTCTGCTAGGCCGTTGCGGGGACCAGGGGTTCTGGAGGAGCAGGTAGCAGGGGCGTTATAGCGATCAACCCTTATGATTTTAGGACTAGAATCGAGTTCCGCAGCCCTACAACATGGCCAGGGTGGCCTGGAGAGATGTGTAATAGGGTGCTGGCTGGGAGCAGGGAGGCTTGGAGGTGTGCCTGTGTGGCCGTTCGTGTGTCTTCTCGGAGCCAGTACGTATTACCACTTACATCGATCCGATACAGCCTGATAGCAGCCGCCAGTGTGTGCTCGCCAGGGCCGGCAGACCCAGAACGAGGCCAATTCCAATGCAATGTAGCAATGCTCCTGCCCGATCACACTCTACATGCCAGCGCATTATCTCGAGGCAATCGACTCTGCTCTCTTCGGTTCTGGGCTCTCGACAGGAGCGCAGGACACAGCACAGGACTTCTCGCCTAGGACAGGGCTAGCGGACGCTGGAGCAGAAAATGAGAGACTCTGAGGCACTCTCACAACCACCACTCTGGCCAAGTGGAGCGGACGCTATTCCCTCTCCATCTCGAGATCGCCGTCCTCAACCGACACCCCCTCCATCATCCACCATCCATCCACCAGGCCAAGTGTCACTGCCGCCACACCCCTCCCCCCTGGCCCTCATTGATCCATCCGTACCTGGGCTGTCTGCCTTGCGCCTGCTCTCCGCCATTTGCTAGTCCCAAGGCCCACCCCCTGCTCACTTGTCCGAATATCGACTGCATGCCTGAGAGTATGGATGGAGGGCGCGGCAATCTTCTCGCTTGTTTGCTCACGCCTACGGCTAGAGGCGTGTAGCTTTCATTGCCCACTGCCTCTGGGGCTGCATACCAATCATCCTGGTCCCAGTTGGGGCTTGTCTTTATGATATGATAGGTACATGCATACACACATACATTATACATACCTGGTCGGTATTCATCTTCTCACATCCCGTCCCATGCTCTACTCCCCCATCCCCTCCAAGTACCCTGCCTTATGGTACATTACTTGCTAGTGGTGTTTCTTTTCCTAATCGATCACAGCTCTTCGGGTCAGGGCCTCGTTTCTATATCTTCTCGGAGTTCCCATCACCAACTCTCCACTTAGACATCTGTCAACGATCGCTTCACCATTGATTCACAGGACTAACAGCTCTCCTCCGCATTCTATTCTGTCAACGTCCATCTTGCATAGCATAAGAAGAAGCCCCTTCTCTCTCTTTCATCCTTCTCTGCCGTCATCGCTCGTTTGCTGGTCCGACTTTCACAAGCAAACAAGCGCGACCACTCTATTGTACACGATCTTGTTTGTCCCTCCTAGGAATGAACATTCGTACTTCAGATAGAGACTATTCCTGCCTCGTGGATTGTTGACTCGTTCCAAAGAACCAGTCCCTACACCAACGGCACTTGAAGCAGAGTGACAGCAAGCAGAGACAGACGCCAATCCAATCAATCGCCTTATAGCAAGCGCAAGACTTGCGTCGCACTCCCAGCATTCCAGCAAGCAAGCCAATCCCACTTACAGGCTCCCACACAGTAGCAAAGTCGTCAATCGCAAACCAGCGAGCACGCAGCATGTTCGCGTCACATCACGAAGGCGACGAGTATGCTCGATATCCTCACCCTCCCCACTCTGCCTCTAGCTACGAATCCGCCACAACCTCTCCCATGGAGATGAACACCATGTACACGATCCCCTCAACGGTTGCGTATGAGCCCGCCATGTACACCGAGACCTCAAATTACGTCCTGGGCCACGGGAACAACTCACCTACCATGTATCCCGAGGACAGTGAGCTGCGCATCCCATCCTCGAGCCTCTCCGCCGCCTCAGCTGCCTCCTCGGCGGCTGCCTCACCACAATCCAATCCCGGGCAGCACTCTCTGCCTTCCCCCGAATGGGCCACCAGTGGCCTTGTCCAGCCGACCATTGTGAGCAACGACTTCGTTGCCCACCACCCAGACTTCGGCTTCCACGCCCAGCATATGGAGGAGATGAACTTCGACTTTGCGCCACCTACAAAGGGCTATGTTGGTAAGTCTCAATTGATCTTGCGCTCCTGCTTTTGGCCTTTGACCCGAGTCCCTGTCTTGCCATGCTCGCCCTTTGGGTGGGTGTCTGAGACAGGGCTCAAGCGAACCCGAACACATTTGGGTTGGACATGACGGCGCTGTTCTCTCCTTTGCGATAGACCGCCATCTGGTCCTCCATCATGTGGCTGTCCGCTTCGTTGGGCCAACGGTAATTTTTCTGCAATGGGACGTGTGCTGACAGGTGCCTGTTCTCGCTTCTAGATCCCTCTCTGATCAATCAGGAAATGGGCGGTCTGCCCATGCCTGCGCCCCACTACGATTACTACCAGCATCACCAACAGCCTCAGCAGCCCTTCCCAACCTCTCCCTCAGTCGCCTCTTCACCACAGCTCAAGATGATCCGCACCAACAGCTCCTCGCCCGCCTACTTCCCGAACCCTCAGATGCACCCAGGAGCCTACGCTCACAGCCCCTACGTCGACACAACCGGCCGCCGGCCAAGCATGAGCAGTTTTATCTCTCCGGCCTCGGGCGAGTACCACAGCGGAGACGAGACCAAGATCAAGCAGCGATGCACATACCCCGATTGTGGCAAGGTCTTCAAGGACCTCAAGGCCCATATGCTCACGCACCAGAACGAGCGTCCCGAGAAGTGCCCCATCCAGACGTGCGAGTACCACACCAAGGGCTTCGCACGCAAATACGACAAGAACCGACACACCCTGACGCACTATAAAGGCACCATGGTGTGCGGCTTCTGTCCTGGATCTGGCTCGGCCACCGAGAAGTCGTTCAACCGCGCGGACGTCTTCAAGAGGCACTTGACAGCCGTTCACGGTGTGGAGCAGACTCCTCCCAACAGCCGCAAGAAGGGCTCCATGACCATCCCCTCCAAGAAGCTCAACGCCTATGCCTCCGACGCCACTGGCAAGTGCAGCACTTGCTCACAGACCTTCTCCAACCCTCAAGACTTCTACGAGCATTTGGATGACTGCGTGCTGCGCATCGTCCAGCAGGAGGACCCCTCCGAGGCGATCAATGTCCAGTGCCTCACTGAGGTGGAGAACGACAAGGATGTCCAGGAGACTCTGGAGAAGAACAACCTCCCCCTCACCACCCAGGTCACTTCTGACAGTGGTGATGGCAACGATTCGGATATGGCTGATGATGACGACGACGATTCCTCGAGCATCAAGGTGGCTAACGGTGTTTCCAAGAAGAAGGGAAACCCAGCCAACGGTGTTCAGAAGTCTCGTGGCATGACACACTCTCGCGGAGGAGTGCCAATGACCATGAAGCCAAAGAACCGCAAGAACCGTGGCGAGCGATACCCCCCTTCCTGGGGATACGATCCCGCGAACATGACCCTCAAGCACCGCGTCATGACTTGCTTTGATGGCGCTCGTCGCCTCGCCAAGGACGACATGGCTCTCTCCACCACGCACGAGGTTCGTCTCAAGCTCTCCGACCCCAAGGCGTACACCACCGATCTGGATATCCAGACTCTGAAGCGCGCCGAGGGTTTCCATGGCGCAACTGAGGAGGAGAAGGGCATCTGGATTTCGGATGACCCCACTGAGGCTCAGTTCCGACAGATGAGCGAGGCGGCGATGCTGGCTTCGAACTAATCGAGGCATCGTTTTCACTATTGTTTCATTTTCTTGGTTATAAAGTCCCCCAGTACACGGAAGAGGGTTCTCATCATAATCTCGAAGGTTGGCTTGCGAAGGGATGCGTCCGTCCCTGCAAGGACTATTCAAAAGCATAGCAGAAGGCGCAAAGCGGGATTTTAACGGCAAACGGGAAAGGAAATTATTTTGGGAAACTAGGGAAACATGGGGAATTATCTCATGATTGTATGTGTTGGAATACGACAAGGAACAAAGACGTCTTCCGAGGTTCAAGGAAGACGGTGAAATGATACCCCCACTGATTTGCGAGCAAATCGAAACAGACCACTTGGTTGTGGACATTGTCCTCTTGTTCTTTTTTTTTTTTTTTACCTGTCTTCTTTTTTTCTTATATCCGGTGGGCTTTGGGACCTTCCTTTTGGGTTATATATATAATGATGGATGATAACGACGATGGTTAAATGGCGAAGACGACTCGATCTTCTCCCACCATCTATTTCTCACGGGCTTTCTTGTTAGTATCTGCATTGCTTGCCTTGAGCTGGTCTTTGACACCAGCTGAGTGATAATAATAATACCGATCTGTACCACTCCTCGTTCGAGCTGCAAATGTGACGTTCCATTCGATATCTTAACGTCCTGTGTGGGCGCTTGTTTGTGGAACATGAGATGATGGCTGCTGTTTTGAGGGTTGTCGAATCAGTTGAGAAGGGATGAGACTCGGATCGTTTACAATCAACCGGAATATGTGTAAGAGCAGAATTATCAAAGTATCCCCCCCAATCGATAAAAAAAACAAGTTTATCTGACCCTGGGCAGGAGAATCTGTGATGTCAGTAGGATGACCCCGGTTCATCGGAGGATGGGACCCGAAATGGTGGGATTTTCGGTTCCATAGCCCCAGCCTGGCTCCCTCCCACCAAGATCTCACATATGACCAAATACCGATATACTACCTTGACGTCCAGGCTTAGGAAAGGGCCGTGAGACGATTGGAGCCTCGTGTCGCACCAGAATATCCCCAATCCTGGCTCCCCCCTGGCGATAGAGGAGCCCTCTCTTGTTGAAAAAAAGGCGGAGACGTTGAGGAATTTTTTAGACTCAAGCCTAGGATTTTTGGCTTTCGTCCAACGGCTGCAAACCCGACCACTCAAGAAAGGCCAATATACGTTTTAGGAAAATAAAAAACGTTTCTTCTTGCCCCCCCCTGGTTTAGACCCCGGGAGGTGTAATGTCGCTGATATCCCGCATCGCCCTCGCGGGTGCCGAGGGCACCGACCCGGAGGACTTCCTCTCCCAGTCTCTGGGCGTCGTCTTCCCGGACGACGTGACGAACCAGCACGGCGACCCGGACTCGTGGCTGGTGTATACGTCGCCGCACCTGCCTAGACCCTTGCAGCTGAGGCTGTGCCAGCCGGGGGACGACGCGGAGAGGCGGCTGTTTAGCCACTTCCTCTGGAACTCGTCGCTGCTGCTCGCGGAGCTGATAGAGCGGGACTCGTACCTAATAAGCGAGAAGGGTACTGCCGTGGAGGGGGATGAGGCCAAGTCGGTAGGCCTCTTCGACGTGAGGGGGCGGCGGACCGTGGAGCTGGGCGCTGGCACGGCGCTGCCGAGCATAATGGGCGGGCTGCTGGGCGCCGAGGAGGTTCTCGTGACGGACTACCCTGCTCCGCCGCTGATAGAGGCGCTCAGGACCAACGTCGAGAAGAACGTCAAGGTGGAGATGTCCCCCCTTGGCAGGGTGTCTCTCGACGTTAAGGTGCTGGGCCACGAATGGGGCACCTTCCCCGAGGGAGACGGGGTGACGGTGAAGAGGCACGCCTTCGACCGCGTGCTCATCTGCGACTGCCTGTGGATGCCATGGCAGCACGGGAACCTCCAGCGGTCCGTCGACTTCCTCCTCAAGCAGACGGCGGAGGCTAGGTGCTGGGTCGTTGCTGGCTTCCACACGGGGCGGGCGAAGATGGCCGGGTTCTTTGACGAGGAGGCATTGAGGGAGGAGGCCGGGTGCGAGATTGAGAAGATATGGGAGCAGGACTGCGATGGGAAGCAGAGGGGATGGGTGAAGGACCAAGCAGAGGAGGATCCGGGGACGAGAAAGCGGTGGCTGGTTGTTGCGGTGTTGAAGAGGACGCAGAGGGAGACGTAACAAGTTAAGAAGAAAGAAGAAAAAGAAGAAAGAAAGAAAGAAAAAAACCAACAAAGCGGAAACAATGTTCCTGGCGTGGAGAAAACTACCTCAGTGTAGACCGACGGCGCGGGATGGTTGGTTGGCCGGTATCATGGATATATACATATTACACACACACGCATGCAGGCATCCGGAGGCGAGGTGGTTGGCCGTCGTCTTCGCAAGCACCTCTCCTCCCCACATACGAGGAGCACGATGTCGCAGTACTGTCCCCATGCAGACAAGTGCAACGCCCGCACTGCTCGTTTGGTGCTGCCCGCCATCGGTCCTTAGGCCTTTGGGGGCACCAAAAGTCGGGTTTGTCTTGGATGCAGTGTGGCCGCTTGTTTGTTCAGCTGCGGACGGCTCGCCCGTCGTGATTGGCGAGCACAGAGGCCAGGATCAGCCCGCGTGGGACCTTGGATGCATAATCCCACATTTCTGCCATGCGAGGGATTGTTGTGAGCTGAGCTCTGGCGGGTTTCAGCCTCACTTCTCACCGATCGGCTGCAGATTATTACATGTCACCCTCACCTAGCACGGAACAGGAGCGAAGCCCTGGGGCACGTGGACAGAAAATACAAAAAAGGTCGTTTTCATCTATCTAGATGCCCAAGTATATAAAATATCGAAAAGGATCATTATGCGGTGTGCTGTGTGCCAGTAAGCAGACTGAGATGTATATCGAGTGAACAGGTGCATGGCCTAGAGCTTCAGCTGAAAACTTTGCCATGCCCAAGCGAGTCAAGTGACGTCTGCTCGATGACCAACAATTAACTAAGCCCCCAATGCATTCTCGGCTTGCTTAGTTTGGAGCTTCGACGCTGGGACCTTTTTCATCCACCCTGGCGACTAGATCGTAGCTGATTCTGAGGTTTTCCGCGCCGCTCAGCGCCCTCGTCACCACACTCTCGTGCTTCTGCTTGACCAGCCGCCGCAGCGCACCGACTAGGAAGCCAGCTACAATGTCAACCGACCAGCTGTCGGGAATCAGCTTGAGCACGTCATCGACCTCGAACCAGCCGCCGAATCGCTCCAACAGTGCGCCCGTCTGTTCAATACGGTCACTGATGTCTGAAATGGCCAGAAACTCGTGTAGGACGGCGTTAAAGAGGCGTCGCTGCGTATCGACGCTGGGAAGCGAGTCCTTCCGGCTGAGACCATCTGATGTGGTGAAGCTGTCGATGCTTGTTCCCCCACGGAGACAATACGACACAGCTGCGTCGTAATCACCGAGCTTATGCACAAGGAGACGGACAGCAACCTCGTGGTTTCGCTCCCTGCCTGAGAGGATGATTGTCTCGGGGACCAGCAGGTCGTCGGGCAAGCTGGCAATTCGCTCCTTGATAGAAATCGTGTCGTAGTCGTGTGCGCCACTCAGAAGCTGAAGGAGCCGTAGGCGGCTGTGCCAAACTTCATCGTCCTGAGGCGCATTATCTGAAAGGAAGTGGCGGTAGGTGGGTTTGGGCGCTCGGAGAGCCTTGTAGGCCTCGTAGGTCGCCATCACGGCATCTCGACTCTCAGCCGACGATTGTAGCTCGCTCACCACCACGTCAAGGTAATAAGTAATGAGGTCGTTGACATACACGGTGTATCCTTTGTCAAATACTAGATGCTCCAGATAGTATTTGACTGCGACCGGTGCCTCTTCTTTGAGTAACTCAACAACTTGGACGGGTTCGAATTTAGGAGCTCGACCCTTGTCCTCAGCAAATACCTGGACACCCAACTTTGGGTTCCGGTTCGCCAGCCAGACACCGTACTCTTGCACTAGTGATTGACTGCGAATTTTGGAGAGGTACTCTCGGACACGCAGTTCGCCGTCGCGGAACTCCTGCCCTTCGTCCCGTTCACCTTCAATAATTCGCTTCCAGGTGTTCAGGACGTCACCTGCCATTTTGCGGCTTTGGTACAGCCGACTTAGAATGAAGAGCCGGTGATAAGATTCAAGAAGGTTGACTGCTCGTTCGAAGCAGTCCACACCCTTATCCACTAGGTCGTTGAGCTCTGCTCGAACCGAGCCGCCCTTGCCCATGCCCTTTGGCGAGTTTTTGTCCAGTTCTAAGAGGACAAGGAGCAATGCAGCATCTACCGTCCGGAATACTTCGCTTTCCTCCGAGACGCTAGGTAGACCTTTCATGCCTCTCCATGATGTTAGAAACTTGCGCAGGAATTGAAGGATACTGGGCCCAACGCTTTCGATGCGGCCATTTGCAATCTTCTCAAATTCACTGCCTTGAATGAAGGAGTCGGCCACCCCTTTCACACCTCCATATATCCAGATTCCCCGCTGGCCTTCAACGATTTCGTTTCGGACGCCGGGGATGAGTGCTAGCACGACTCGAGGATCCAGACTACTTTCGACCAAGACTTCTTCAACCGCTTTTACTTCTGCCTCAGAGAAGCCCTGGCTAGAGGCGGATTTCAAGAGTCCCGAAAGAAGAAGAAGTCCAATCTTTTGCCGCAGATAGCCAAATGTGAGAAACTCCAGCTCGGACTGAGCATCTCGCTGACGTACAGAGCCTAGGACGGAGACTAGAGCACGCCTGTCGACTTGGTGGTCCTTGGATATGGCAGCCTCGAGTGTAGAATCTAATTTCAGGATCAGCGGGTTTCTGACTGCCCACCATATCCGATCTCCAGCCCAGACAACAAGGCCAGCATATGCCTTGGCAAGACGTCTGGCGAATTCTTTCGACTCCGCACTCCGCGATGCCTCCCAGCCGTCAGGGAGAGCGTCCTCCTCTTGAGAGTCAAAGTTTTGTTCGAATAGCTCCTTTTCCTTTGATAGTTGCTCAATGGACAATGCTGTTCTCGAGTCTGA